GGGGGACCCGGGGGGCGGGGCGGGACCCTGCGCAGAGCCCTGCTGTGCATCTGGGCGCTCCTCGCCTCACCAGGGCGAACTCTGTGGGATGTCCTGTGGTTTGGGGAGAGGGGTCGCGCCGGGACAGAGAGGCTGTTTTGTACACCTAGTCCGTTGTGACCTCCGACAGGTGGGCACTGGGAACCCTACCCCCACTCCGCCTTCTTGGATCCTTTAAGGTCCTGAAAAAGAAAACCCGCCCCCTCCCCGCCTCCACCTCCCCGCCCCCCCACCAAGCAACCAAATCCTGATTATCTCGGAGCGGGGGAGGAAAACCTTGGAACTCTTTAAAATCAAACAATGACATAAAGTTTTTTTAGGTAGCGCCCCTCTCTCCCCTTGGCGGGGCCAGGGTAAGGACTCGACCCAGAGGCCTAGAGAAGCGAGTTTCAGCACTCGACGGGGCGGACAGCGCCCCGGGCTCCGGGTCAGGCTGGGGCTGGGGAAGCGCGGGGTGGAGCCTTCGGGACCCCGGGGGTGTCGTTTGGGCCCCTCCTCCCGCCCCGGTGGCGGCCCCCTCCCTCCAGCCATAGGGTGGGCCAGATGGACTTCAGCACCGGAAGGAGGGACAGCGCCCAGCCTGCCGGCCCCCAGAGCCGCTTAGCGCCAAAAGGTCAAGGCCAGCTGGGCCCAGCTGAGGGTGAGGAGGGGCGGCCCCAGCTCCGAGCTTGCTGACCCGCGTCCGCTTTCTGCCACGCAGCCCTCGGGATGGAGATGAGAAGACGGCCGTGACGCGAGGCCCCCTGCAGCCCCAGTAGCTCCCAGCGCTCCCTGCCCCCCTCCCCGCGGCGGCCAGCCTTGCCGTCGAGTGACAGCGGCCTGGGGGGGCAGGGGGGGCGGGGGCGGCCGGACCAGCGATGCCGGCGGGCATGACGAAGCATGGCTCCCGCTCCAGCAGCTCGCTGCCGCCGGAGCCCATGGAGATTGTGCGCAGCAAGGCGTGCTCACGGCGCGTCCGCCTCAACGTCGGGGGGCTGGCGCACGAGGTGCTCTGGCGCACCCTGGACCGCCTGCCACGCACGCGTCTGGGCAAGCTCCGCGACTGCAACACGCACGACTCGCTGCTCGAGGTGTGCGACGACTACAGCTTGGACGACAACGAGTACTTCTTCGACCGCCACCCGGGCGCCTTCACCTCCATCCTCAACTTCTACCGCACGGGGCGACTGCACATGATGGAGGAGATGTGCGCGCTCAGCTTCAGCCAGGAGCTGGACTACTGGGGCATCGACGAGATCTACCTGGAATCCTGCTGCCAGGCCCGTTACCACCAGAAGAAGGAGCAGATGAATGAGGAGCTCAAGCGCGAGGCCGAGACCCTGCGCGAGCGCGAGGGTGAGGAGTTCGACAACACGTGCTGCGCGGAGAAGAGGAAGAAGCTCTGGGACCTCCTGGAGAAGCCTAACTCCTCCGTGGCGGCCAAGGTGAGTCTGGCATCCGAGGGCAGGGGGACTGGCCGAATCCCCAGGCTGAGGACCAGGATTGGGGAGGGGAAGCCGTGGCAGTGCCCCAGGGGTGAAGACCCACCCGCTCCCTCGTACTGTTCCTCTGTGGCATCCATCATGGCCATTCTGTTATTGATGAATAATTTATCCCCTGGTTGCATAGGGGGGAAAGGATTTATGGAGATTTCTAAACACCACGGCAAGAGAACAGGCTTGGGAAAGGAAATCAGAAAGAGCCACTTGGGCCAACGAGCTGTGCCGAGATGCTGCTGAGTTGAGTTGGGTCGACTGGACCATAAGGCACCCAGGGCAGACCTATCCTAGAGATGGTGCTCCTGCAATTGTTGGACACATGCCCATCTTGACAACCCCACTTGGCCCCTTGGAGGAGGTCAGCAATGTACAGACAAGCTTGGAGGAGGGACGCTTTGATATGGGCAGGCGGTTTCAACATAAGCAACAGGAGGCAGAGGGACAGAGAGCCGTGGAAGGGACGGGATGCCTGCGGTTGGCTGGTCGGTGAGGGGCCATCCCGGTTGGTGTTTGCTTCTTTGGGGACTTTATGCTGAGCATGGTTTCAGGCAGCTTGCAAAGATACTCCGGCTGTTGGGAGAGGATGTACATTTTGAAACAGGAGAGAAACATGAGTCAGTGTGAGAAACCAAGGAGACAGAGACAGGAAAGAGTGTGACCACACAGGGTGGATGAGGCCCGAGGGGGAGTCTAGTTTCCTGCCAGGTAAAGTTGGAGGCTGTCAGGGGCTAAGAAAGGCTTGCCATCTGAGCTGGGTCAGAGGGCCATTTGTGGATGACCCCTTCTCTGTGTTAGGCTGGCCTTCAGGGGTGCCATGGAGAAACGGAGGCCACTGAACTGGGTGGCCAGAGCATATGACAATACAGTGTGTCCAGGGCCAGAAAAGAGACCTTGGCCCAGAGAGGGAGCAGTGCTGAGGTTGGAATTCAGCACCTACATGGGGGGCAGGCATTGTTGTTGCTAGAGGCCAACGAAGTGATGTCCACCCAAAGCAACAACCCCCTTCAGACAGAGCAGAGCTGATGTGCCCAGGAGCAGACTCCCCGTCCTTTTCCCCACAGTCACCGTGTGGCTTCAAACCACTGACCTTTAGGTTAGCAGCAGAGCGCTTAACTGTTTGTACCATCAGCACTTCTTAGGCAACTCATGGCCCAGTGTGAAGGGGAGAAAAACAGCTACATAGTCAGCCATTATTTATTAGCTGAGGTCTGGCTGGGTCCAACCTGGCTTCTCCCTGGGGGCAGAGGGGTGTGGAGGGATGCCCCACCTGCAGGTTCAGGTGTGGGGGGAGCAGCCCCAGGTAGGTTCTTCACCAGCTCTGGCCGTGGATGCAGGAGAACACCCAGGCCTCCTTTCCTCCTCTGCTTCCTCTGCCCATGAGGTTGCCCCAGGTTTTGTGTAAAAAACAAACAAACAAAAAACCAACCAACAAAAAAAAGCCCTTTCCTCTTAAGACAGACTCACTTGCCCTTCACCGGCTTAGGATCAACAGATTTATTTTGCTATTTTCAGGCCTGACATAGGTTCCTTCCCTCCTCCCCCACCCCCTAGCTAGTCCCCAACATGACTCTCCCCTCCCTGCCCTGTCCCTGAGACAGGAAAGCGGGCTCGCCCTCCCAGCAGCAGGCAGCGAGAAGCAAGAAGCAGTCCAAGGCTTGTGTTTGGGTCAGCGGTGTCTGGCAGGGGACTGTGGGAGAGGCGCTGTTTGTGACTAAATCTCCTCTCCTTGGGCTAATCCGAGAGTGAGAGCGCGGACGGGCTAGTGACCTCCCTGTGATCCTGGCCGGGCGCTGCCGGCCCAGATTCCTGGCAGATGGACAGTCTCCGGTTTTCTGCAGCCAGATGGAGCTGACACTAGGAGGCAGGCAGGCTAGGTGGCCCTCAGTGTAGACATCCTGACCCACCCCTTCTCTCACCTGCTGAGTAACCCTATTAGCCCTTACACCAAGCCTCTCTTCCTATCCCTCCTTTCACAGACTGGGAGGCTCAGAGAGGTTAAGTTTCTGGCCTGAGGTCACACAGCAGGCAAAGAACAGCTGCCAGTTCATGCCATCATGATTCTGTGCCAACAGCCCCTCCGGGGTCTCTGCTCCCACCGCTGCCCCATGCCGCCCATACAGCAGCCAGAGTGAGCATTCCCAAACGGAAACGGAATCACATTATTCATCCCTCAGGATTTCCCATCTTGCCCAGAATCAAACCCCCACTCTTCTGCCTGGCATGCCAGGCCTCCAGCGTCCGGTCCCTCGGCCTCTCGGAGCTCATCTCTCTTCTTCTCTTCTGCTTCTCGGCCCTCTGGCTCCTCGCCGGTCCCCAATTGGGTCGCCTTCATCCCTCCTTTGCATGGGCTATGCCTACAGCCTGAGACCTTCTTTCCCATCATGACCCATGGCCAGCCCCTTGCCCTCCTGCAGATAGCTGCTCACACACCCCTTCCTCAGCCTACCTTCCCAAGCCCTGCCTCAGCCTTCCCCCTGCGACTCTCCGTCGGATTGTGCTCTCTTCCTGCATTTGTCTTGTCTTTGTCCATTTCTTTCCCCGGGAGCATGTGAGCACCATGATTTGCCCCCACTGCTCTGTTCCCAGCACCCACCGGCTGCCTGCACAGAGGAACCGCAGATCACGTGAACACACCCCCTTCTAGAGACATGTCACTCCTCCCTCGCTGCCCACCTGTGAGCCACTTCCCTGTTCCTCTGGCCCCTTTCAATCACTTGCAGTCCACCCACCTTGTCCCTAATCACCCCCACCCCCCTGAAAGTTAGCAGTGTTTTTGTCAGGACAGGGAGGCCTTTGGAAATTCCTTTGAAGCCACTGAGAACTCCGCTGGGTTGTGAGGTTCAGAAACAGCTGTTTGTCATGTTTATGAGCAAGGCCAGCCCTAGGTTCCAGGCTGAGCACCGCTGCCTTCCGATGCTGGACATAGGTGGGAGTCCTCACCTCTCCAGGCCCTGGGCTCCCACCTGTCAAATGGACCTCAAATGGATCCCGCAGGCCCTCCGGGGGACCAAACTCAGCTCTGGCTGGGCACCAGGGCTGGTGCCATTGTCGTCAATGACGGGCAGCAACGTCCTCTGTGTACCAGAAACACCCTCTCCTGACGGCAGCGCTGGTCGGGCGGGGGGCCGAGCCAATGCGGTTAATAATTGATGGGCTGTGCTGGCAACGTGGACACAAACCAAAGCACAGGCCCTGGGCTTGGCTGGCCATCAGGGGAGCAAAAAATCAAACTCCATTAGGCGAAAGGCCGTGTGATTGATTCTTGTTTGGAAGCTGGGGTCAGCCCCAGCAGGGTGACGGTGCGGTGGTGCTGGGGCCGCCACTGGGTTTCCGCCTTCTCAGAAACACCTACAGACTTGTCTCAGTGGGGGGTGGGGGTGGGGTGCTGGTTTGTCAGGCCAGGAGCATCTGTCTGCATTCCTGGGAGAGACTCTGGACCAACACTCTGAGGTGACTTGCTCACAGCCAGGGTAGCTGCTATTTATTGTGCCAGGCGCTGATTCGAGGTACTTCACTCAAATCTACCGACCAGATCCGTGGCGTGGGCGGCCAGTTATGGATGCTTTGGGCTGCAGGCAACAAGAGAAAATGCAACGCAGCTTCCGTAAGGAGCAAGCTGCTTCATTTCCCTAACACGGTTTGGAGTTGCGCGGATGGTTCTCGGAGGCGAACTTTCGGCTTCGCCTACCCCCACAGGTTGCTTGGTGCTCAGACTTGATACCTCACTTTATAAGGTGGCTGCCCAGTTGCAGGCATCAAGGGCACAAACGGTGAAGCCCCACCAAGGAACAGGAGCAACTGCTCCTCTGGGCACCACTCCATACCCCCACGCCCCCGAAAAACCCTTTCCAAAGGAGGCCCCAGCAGACTTCTTTAAATCCGATTGGCCAGGATCTGGTCACTTGCTCATGTTCCTGTTCATGCAAAGGAGCTTGGGAAAACAAGTATCTGGCACTTTCAGTGGAGGGAGGGAGGAGATTTTGTGAGTGGTGCTAACATCCTCTACAGAAGAGAAAACAGAAGGTCTCGCCCGAGGTTCCACGGCCAAGTGCTCAGTTGAATAGTCAGTCATCAAAGGGATGAAAATGGAAGAGCCAGGGTTTGAACCCAGGTACATCTGGGTTTGTGTCTTGATCCCAGGATCCCAGACAAGTCATTGGAACTCTCCGCTTCAGTGAGCTCCTCTGCAGGGTCATGAGCAATCATGGGGCCCACTGCCTTGGGCTGTTCAGATAGTTCCGTGAGATTTTAGAGGCAAGTGGAATGTTTGAGTGGAAAACCCTTTATACATGTGAATTGCTCCTTTTATCCTCGATAGAAGTGAACATGGCCTTTATCTAGCTGTGGTGCCCACAATATTTTGCCCATCGGAGGTGTGATAACTATCCTGTGCCCTGGAGTCCACCAGCTGTGGGTTTATTGCCTGGCTCCATCACTGACCCCGGGGAAAGCGCCTGACTTTGTCAAGTCTCAGTTTCATCCCCTGGCAAACGGGGATTAGAGTAGAGCCAGCTGGGTAAGGCTATTAGGAGACGGTCCACATCCAGAGCTCACCCGGAGCCTGGCAACATGCTTATGAGGGCTATCATTGACTCTGTTCTGGCTAACTGCAAGGTCAGTAGTTCGAACCCATCAGGTGCTCCAAGGGAGAGAGATGAGGCTTTCGATTCCTGTAAAAAATCACAGTCTCAGAACCCCCCAGAGCAGTTCGACTCTGCCCCATAGAGTTGCTTCGAGGTGGGATCACTTGATGGCAGCGAGTTGGGAGGTTTTTTAAGCAATTCTATCCACGCGCCAGGCTGGCAGCAGCTCCTGTTACGGTGTTGTGCACTGGTGGGTCCCTGCTGCCCCTTTCCAATTGTATGCCTCTAGTGGCACGACGCGTCTACTTCCTTGTTCTGAGTCACAGGGACTCGGGTATAGTCACCATGGAAACGGAGAGGCAT